ATTTGAAAATTACATATATTCAATTTAGTAAAAAAAAAACTTCCACATTTGTAATCATAAAAGAATATAATACAAAATACATAAAAGAATTACAATGGAATCATATAAACTAGAGAGTGAAAAAAAAAAAAGAAACATATGTAGATAAGTAAATTACCTCAATTTTCTTGCATTCTTCACCAAATTAAGGAACCTATTTAAATAAAAAAATTAAATCATTAGTGGAAGCATAAAAATATATATAAGAAAGAAGTAAAATAAAAAGAAAGATGAAAATAAAAATAAGAAAACTTCTATTTAAACCTTAAATTCTAAATTAAGAGAATTAAAAAATTAAACAAAAGTAAAATAAGAATGCGGAAGAAAGATATAAGAAAGAAGGAGAGATTGAGAAAAAAAGGAGAAGAGTGAAGCACTATATATAGAAGTAGATATTGATTAATTCGGATAGGTAAATTCACCGAAATAAAAGACAAAAATTTCGAACCTCCCCGCTCAAAATTACTAAGGGGGGTGAGGCGGGAACAGAAACTAGTTCGGTCAATAAAAATGACCGAAGTAATCTGGGCATGAAAGTGATATTTGGATAACTTGTTTCGGTCAATACCCTTGACCGAAATAGGGAACACTTTTGATATTTTCGGTCAAGGGTATTGACCGAAATAGGGACCACTTTTTGCCATCTTCCACTGCACTTGTTCCTTTGCTCGGTTAAGGTTTTCACTTATTAGCTTAGTTTTTGCTGTTTGATGTTTCTTCTTCTTTTTTTTAACTTAATTTGTTTTAAATTTTTTTTAAATAAACTATATAATTAACATAATATAAAATTTTTGTTAATTATTTATCTTTATATTTTAAGCATATATTAAAACATACAATTAAAGCATATAAATATAAAAGATAGGCTACCCTTATAATTAAAATGTTATGATATAGAGTACAATTAAAGTGTCCTAATCTCTCGAACATGGATAAGGGAAATTAGACAATATATTGCAGAATATGGGTAAATTAAAGATATTATGGTTCTTGAATAGAACGTAATTTTTCAGATGCCTCATCCCAAGACTTTTTCGTAAATTTGAGACGCCAACGACCATTACCTAAAATCTTTGTGATAGTTTCAGAGGACTCAGCAGGTGTTGTGGATGGGTTTGACATGACTTCACGTGGAAGGTAACGATTTGGGCAAACTTTTGCAGTATGACCCTCATGGTTACACAGTTGACAAGTTATTGCATATCGGTGTGGGCATATAGTAGCTAAATGTCCAGGAATATCACATATTTGGCAAACAACGTTCCCTTCTTTTTTAGGTAATGGAATGTCTTGGGGCATTGCTATATGATTCCTTGCTTTTGTCAACTTTTCCCTTGGAGGAATTCGAGATGGACAATCCCATAATGATTCTGGAGTATCTTCAACAATTGCTAAAATTAACATTAAATTAAGTAATATGTTAGTAAATGGTATGCACATACATGAATTAAAAAGTTATGTGAGGGAAAAGGAAAAAGAAATTATACCATTATATT